ACTGCAGGGATTTTTTTTTCTTCATTTTCCCAAATCTGACTTTCAGACTGGATTGTCTACAATGTTATTATATATCAGTTGGGTCTGTGTGTTGTGTCAATTTCAGCATTTGTGTGTTAATCTGCGTTTGATGAAACAGTCTTTTGACAAATCCTTGACATTGAAATGACTTCCAGAAACAGGCAGTGTGGTGCAAGCAATAGACCAATTTCGAGCCACGTCACAGTTACATCACGGTGTTAGCTGGAGGCAAAACAAAGGGACAACTGGAGGCGGCTAATACAAACCAGTACAGATTCGGCTACATAATAAGGAGCTTAAATTATTATTATTATTATTATTAAATGTCATCTTGTTGTGTTGTTGGGTGCAAGAATTGATGAAAAATGAATATGCTGTATCTGGAATTTTTATTTCTAGAAAATATTCACATCATTAAAATTGCACTGTAATGTCACTCTTTACGTTGTCGTCTTCTCGGCGCTGGCTAGGCAGAACTGAGGATCGTACACACAAGTCTTTACATGACCATTCAGCACATAGTTATAGGCATCTAAAGATTTAAATGCCCTCAGTTTCTCTTTACACTCGGTTCTCTATCGGATAGGTGTAGAAGTCAGGCCACTCGACCGAAGGTAGCGTTAACGTTAATCCTGTCAGATCGTCCATCATTGAGTGAGCGTGTACGGGTCAGCCTGACCTGGTTCCTGATCTGGTTCCATCCGTTAAAATTAACTTTTGCAAATAACAATCGCGGTCCTGGACAGTGAGTGACCTTGCACATTAAGATAAAATCGGCCAGAGGGATCGTTCTGCCTCCACCTAAGCTCCGCCCACAAAAAAACGTCACCATGTTTACTAACTGAAAAGGGGTCTATAATATGTGGAAAATACTAATTTGTCCCTTTTGGTTGTGGTGGTACCCACTACCCGCTTCCTTCTTGGATCTAAGATCCAAGGAAAGGTGTGGATTTAAATGCAGTGGTGATGAGAGATTATTAACTCAAGATGTGCTCATGCCTGATCTGAGAGCAGAAGTCAAAGGAATGCGGTAGGGATGTTTTTTTCCCCTCATCAAACCGTACAAGATATCGGATAGCTAATCAAATTTGAATTGGTTGTGTGAACAAAATCTGATGTATTCTGTGAGGGGACAGACCAACATAGGTGACATGAGATTTAATTCTAAATTATACTGACTTAATTATATTGACAAATTCTCAACTTAAAGGACAAGTTCAGTATTTTACACTTTTTTTTTTACACTTAAAGCCCTGTTTTATCATAGTTTTTGTCCAAGTCAGGTCAATGGAGTCGGACAAAAACTACGATAAAACCTGTTGGAAAGCATCTTTTGCAGTGATTTTTGTGTGAGCATATCAGTGAACAACCCTGACCACTCGAGTGAGTTTAACGGCTTTGTAAACTAAAGTTTAATGTGTTTTAGGAAGTATTGTTTCTGTGCACCAATGCAACTATTGTGGAGGTGGGGGGGGTGCAACCACAGAAACCGAAAACTCTTGGTACAGCAGAGCATGTGTCCAAATTTCAATCTTAACCGTTCTATTTCATCAGAAACAATCTTAAAACAGGGCTTTAAGTGTACAATACCGAACTTGTCCTTTAAATGGAACTATTTGTAAGTAGATGTTAATATGCCTTTATTTATTTAGTTTTTTTTCTGGATGTTGCATACTTTAATGTATCGCCTACTACACTTGCACCTTGTCTACATGTGGCGTGTCCATTGAAGCAAAGCATTGTAATGGCTTAAGGCTGTCAACACAGATTTGGGCACGCAAAAGGCTCTGATATACTCTTTAAAAAAAATGTATTCTTTGCTTAGGGGTAAAAAGAAGTTAAAAAATACGTGAGCACCGCGTTATACAGTTAGCGAACATCCAACACCGCTCACACTGCTGAGGGCGATGTTTAGATGAATGTGTAAATATATGCTGTGCGCTTTCTTCTCAATAACAACAAAAAAAAAACTGTAAAAATCAGAAAACAGCAGTTGAGAAAGCGTCTGATCATATCAATGTGGATTTGCTTGCACAAGCTCTGCAATTCAACAGTCTAGTCGAGTCACGTCACGTTTATTTAAAAAGCACTTTAGATAGATTGCTTATAATCCACCAGCTGTATACAGTATTACACATGAAGAGCTGTCTGTCTGTTTAAAGTAGAATTAAAAGTTCAATTTCTACCATAAAGTGACTCTGTTGTGGTCATGTTTTACTCTCGCGGACGTCTGACCTTGACGGACTGAAATTAATTAAATGAATGATTTTCGGGTCAAAGAAGCCGGAGCCTCAGAACCACACTAACTTAGTACGTAATGGCAACGGACCAAATATTATTTCGCAGGTGTTTACCAATCTGAGCAAGCTTTTCAGGACAGTTCGCTATGTCAAGCTGTGTCGAACGCACCAAAACGAACTGATTTTGTTTGAAATGAAAATGTAAGGATGATTCATTTTCACTTGATGTATACGTGGCGATTGCAAACGTGAACGGCCCTCTACCGGGAAGGCGATTGTGAATGAAACGAATTGTGAACGGCTCAGCTCGCGCTGGGTTTCAGCCAATGCTTGTGACGGCCCGGTCCAGGTTGAACATTATAATTTATTATAATGGGTTTATTTTTTGATGCGACACGTGTCCAGTGTAGACTGGGTGTATGTGTAAATTCTAGCATGAATTCTATTTACACAGAGTGCAAATAGGTGTATACAATCTTTGTACCGTGTACAAATAGCAACAAATAGCACTTAGGGGCTGTTTACAGCTGGCCACTTCATGCGTTTTCTCAGATCGGATAGCTATCTGATTTATGAAAACGATTCCATGTACACCTGGTCACATAAATGTGTTTTTGCAAAACGGATATAAATCCGATCTTCAATTCCCGCGCTATATGCAGATTTAATGAAGTGCACGTCACCGAAAGCAACAGATATGAGCTGCATTTTATTGATCATCGGCTAATTTCAAAATCAAAGAGAGCAATAAGAGAGAGCGGCAACAGCCCTGGTAAGATTTTGTTTCTTTACTTTTAATGAAGATGATTGTGTGTTAAGCGTCTGCGACTTACTTTCACTTTGTTTTGCGATAGTTTGCGGCGCGTTGGCTTGATGAAGAGACGCTCAGCTGCTCATCTGCTGTAATGCGTGTCGCAGTAGCGCCGTCATATCTGACTATAACATGACATATAGCCTATAACACACTCTCACACGTTTATTTTTTAGCATTTTTGGGTGGAGTAAAATTTACATATGTGGTTTCAACAACCAAGATGCATTTACACTTGTCCAGTTTCGTCTGGAATGCGGCCCAGACCTCCTCGGATTCAAATCCGTCTCGAATGCGTTGGGCATTTTTCACGATCGGATAGCTATCCGATCACAGAAAACGCATGAAGTGGCCAGGTGTAAACAGTCCCTTACGTTCACACTGCAGGCTGAAACGACCCAATTCCGATTTTTTTGCCCCTATGCAACCTGTATCTGATCTTTTCATGACAGTCTGAACGACACAGATCCGATCTTTTTAAATGCGACCCAGGCCAGGTATGTGGTCCAAATCCGATATGTATCCGATCTTTTGAAATGCGACTTCAATCTGAACGGCCAGGTCACATGTATCCGACCTGAAAAATCAAATTTAAAAAAAAAAATCGGAATTGAGCATTAAAGGAGCTGTATGTAAGATTGTGGCCAAAACTGGTACTGCAATCACTTTCAAATGACTGTAGAGTGGTGTATCCCCTCCCCCTCCCCCCTGACTCGAGGTTGCCAGATAGGCTGCAGGATCCAGCAGGAACGTAGTCTGCTCCAAGAAGTGGTAACTAGAGCAGAGCTGGCAACCCGGATGCCGAAACACTACTGACTTTGTGATTAGTAGATAGGTGGAGGGTGGAGCATCAGACCAAAACACAACATGACAACATCAACATCAGTTGAGGGCTGCAACTGCACTTTTTAAATGACAATATCCTGGCCGGACTACTGTTGTCAGTGATATAAGTATTTGAAATTAACATGATTTCTTAATGTCTAGTGACATATCAGGGCCATTTTATGATCAATTGAAATAAATTTCTTACATACAGCTCCTTTAAGCCCCTGCAGTGTGAACGCAGCCTTAGTGACAGTAATGGTAATCACAAAGTGTAAATAGTAGTAATACGCTGTTAGTATTAAAGGTAAATTGAGCAGTGCTGGGCGGAGTTAGTAAAAATAGTTTTTGTGTTTGCACTCGGTGTAAATAGACAGTGCCATAATTAAATATAGATGTCATAAATTGACAGGGGAAACAGCTCTAACAACTAAATAATGGCGTAAATGATGGCATACAGTGCAAAACCTTGCTGATTTCTTTATTTTTCTGATCCTTACTGAAGAGCCCTGAATGCTATTCAAATGAATTCTGAACATTCAGGAAATTCTGAGTTCCTGCACATTTATTTATTGCGAGGGTTTGAGAGTAATTTTAAGACTTACATTTTTTTCAACAAATACATGTAAAATGTCATTTTAGGTCAGTTGTTGTATAGCTTTTGCAAGTACAACATCTCAGTGTAAACCAAATGCTACTTTTTTCTTTTATATTTTCAAGAATTTTCAGTTGAAGATTGTGTGTGTCTTTGTCTTTCTGGAATTTTTAAAGCATGACGAGAGCTATGATGCATTTTCACATTTCAATTTCCTCAGCTTTAAGCCAAGTGGGGAAACTCCCATAACTCGTGGACTTCTGGCTCTGATAGGGTGTGGTTTCCACTCACTCATAGCTTACTAATGATATCATTTTAGTTGTCATCAGTTTTTTTTTTTTTTTTTGGTTTGTTAAATAAATTCTTATATTGGATATGATCTCTGCTTTATATAAACCTTTCTTTATCACTATTTTGTATCTATTATTTTATTATAGTATTTATTCTGCTTTTATATCATGCATCTATTGTGAATGTAGATCATTTTGCATGAACCTTTTTATGTCAGAATCTAAAAGTGCCCCAATAACTGATTGCACTGACATTGAGGAGCTCAGTTTGAAGGAGGGAAACACATCTTTCTACCGGAGGAGAGGGTTTCGACCCCCTCTTTGTGGTTTATAAGATGTGTTTGTTATGTTTTAAGATACACTGGTATTTGAATGTATAAAACTTTCATACTTTATCCCTTAACGGCGTGAATGAACAATCGATGTGTATTCCTTTCTTCAAAAAAAGGAACTGCAGAGAAACACTAACCCGACAACTGTTGCTAAAGGGATTAAAAAAAGAATTAAGGAAGTTCTCGGGTCATCATGTGACAATAAACATAAACTCCTGAAAACTGACTCAGTTATAAAAAATAGCTTTTGCCATTATTTTAAAGTCAGTTTTGCTTGTGTAAATTCCCATTCAGCCTGATCAAAATGTGTAATATATGTAATATCCAATCATTGCAAGTCGGTTTTGAGTGGAAAAATGAATAAATGTGCCATTTAAGGAATGGTGACAAAGGAAATTCATAGTTGCATGTTTCATTGCTGATTACAACAAGCGTTTTTATTTTTTTTAGGCTATAGTTCCACCCTGATGTCGTTCCAGTCCTCTATTACTTTTCTTCCGAGGAACACAGGAACATGAATAAATATATTTTATTTTCATACAGTGAAAGTTAGTGTGGTCCAGTGTTGTTTGGACCCTGGCATTGCATGACAGAATTAACAATTTACACAGCTTCACAGAACAAAGCTTTATCATGTCAGCATTTTTTTTTTTTTTATGATTTAGCATAATGAAATGTATGACAAGGTGGCAACAGCCTTTTTTTTTTTATCGTTTACCCAATAGAACAGAATTTTTTCAGAAAGTTGCTTTCAAGTCGCCTCTGTTGCCTTTTATGTTTCTGTTCGTTTCCTGCCTTTTTGAGCCAAGAAATAGGCTAAAGAAGCAGTAGTCTGTAGAATATTAGATGCATTGCAAAAAGAATATTTGCACCGTTTTGGTATTTCAGACTTTGTATGGATAGGCTACTTCCTTAAAAAGAGCTATTAACAACTTGACTGATCGCTTATATTTTATCATACATATTATTATACAGTACACTAAATAAAGGGACATGTGCCTCGATGACGGTTCGTTTAGGCTGAAGTAAAAAGTGAATAAATCTCTGCTTTAGGTTTGTATTTTGTCTTTAAAACATTCAGATTGTAGTAACAGCAGATTTAAATCTGTCACACTTATGATATCAAATACATTTTTTTTTTTTTTTTTTTACTTTCTAGTGTAAAAATGTTTGCCAGCATAAAACCTTTCCACATTTCTGGGTTTCTCAGAAACGGAAGTCGACATAGTTGGGTAAACTTCTATAGCAGTGAATGAGAGACTACATTATATATATATTTTTGTTCCCAGTTGCTAATAGCAAAAGAAAAACTCCTGAATAGTCTTCTCATAACTTTCAAAAAGAGAAAAAAAGAAAGAAAGAGATTGATAATGGCAGTCAGAAAAGAGAAATGTCAATTTGACCTCACCTCCCACAGCAGTATTAAAGAGGCCTAGTTATTTGTAATTTGATGCACATGTAATATAACAAAGTATAGTGTTATGAATGTACCTACATTTAAAAAAAAATATATATATATATATATATATATAAAACTTTGCTGGATTTACGATAAGGATGACTGTTTAAACGCGTCATCACAGTCTGAAAAAGCTCCATTTAAATGAAGGATTCGTCTTGTGTCCGTGAGCGCCCCCTGGAGGATGAAACAACCGTTAAACATTTGCCCATCAGTCAACCTCACTCGCTCTGCATCGGTAGGTAAGTCTCTTCTACCTCCACCGCAATGTTGACCTTTATGGTCTTTTTCAGTTTGTTACTCTTTTCAAGTGCATGATCTATTAACTTTTGCTGAAAAAAACGTTGTGAACTTGACATTAGGGCTACCTCACGTCACGTCACAGATGGTGATTAGCGAATCAGTCTATTTCCAGTGTTACTGGAAGTCCCCGTGCGTCATTTAATTTTTGTAATAGTCTTTGGGCCCTATCAAACACCCACTAGTTTCAGCCCGTCGAACGTTTAAATGGCAAATGCACGTTGCCATTAAATAATGGCGCCACGTGGTTTAAATAGCAAATGCATTTTGGCTGCTGGTCTGAAACTATGTGTTCAGGCGCATTGTTGACGTTGTTATTTTGAGGCAACTGAAATAGACTGAGCCATTGACAAACTGAAACCTGGTCTAAAATCAATGGCGCAATATTTTTTTGTTATTTAAAGAGCACGTTTGTAATATGCCCCTAAAGGATGGTACACAACGCACGTACACTCTGCTTATTACACACACAGGGACGCGCAGCAGCACACAAACCAGCTAAATATTAAAAATAAAAGGTTTACAATGTAAAAGATTATTATTGTGTACATAAAGGTCCTCGCGCACGAGCAGATCCGTTTCCTTTCTGGAGAAGCGTTCAGTCTTTCCACTATCAAATTCTGTCATGTAAATAGCAAACTTGCCATGCGCGAGCACAACTGGCATTTAAAGGGAATTGGAGATGAGACTCTGATTAGTTTATTTCACATTACACCCAAAACACACCCATTACTCATAAAGAGAATAGAGACGACCCTTTTAGGCCAACCATTTGTCCCGTCGTTAAACTAGCAAAAGTAGATTCGGACACGACCTAAGTGCACTTGCACCGTACGCTTTGGACCATGCACTTAAAATAGGGCCCCTTATTTAGAAACTTGTTAGCAACTTAGATTTAAAGAAAAACAGCTGCTTAAAAATTCATGTCTGAGTTCTGACTGTGTACTTGGTGCTGTAGAATAAATCGTGAATGTTTCAAGTAATATTAAGCACAGACATTATTCCTTATTTACTAATAAATCCAAACCAGCTATTCAGAAATCCCACATGAACTCAGCCTATTGCTCAAGTGTCTTTCTTAGTCATAAAAATGATCACAAAAAAGTTATATTTCACAGAAATACAAAGCGTTATGTGCTCAAAAGTCAAATGAAATTGAAAAACACTTGATGTGAATGATTAATGTTGACCGATATTGCAAAAACTAATATTGTAAATAAACGTGTAATTGTGGTCACCACTCTTCCTTATTGCCATCTGCTAAATGCTAAACATAGAAAATGCTTATTTTAAATATTGCTTTCATTCGTCTTGGTGTTCATTCAAGGGTTTGTTGAAATATATTCTTTTGATGCAAGGAGTATGCATTATATCATGCTATGCTGCTAAATGCAACTTCAAGTACTTTTGTTACTTGGATCCTTGTTTTAAATGTCTAGTTTCATTAATAAAAAAAAATGCTAAAGACAAAAACAAAATCAGCTCATTTATTGACACATTTATTAACTTGAATTGACATTCATTTTGATATTTTCAAAATGATACAATATCTCTTTGCACATGTTCCCAATATAAAGTGCTCTTCTTTTAGTAGTATGTTTCTTGTTCCACCCAGCCTGAAACAAAACAGCACAAATATTAGTTTATTCTTAAATTGATAAAAGGAATGAAATACAACTAAGCTTACAAACTAAAAGCTACTGCATTTGCAAACAGAAGTAATTTTGGTAATTTTCTGCTTGGGGAACAGATATATTATATGTATAATGAAAATGAATTTACCTCCTGGGTTCTTCCTAAGAAGGTATTTTCTAATTTCATCATAGATGAAAATGAGGAGTGAATATGGGAAGGCACAGAACCACCACATTGGTCTAAAACAAAACAAAAACAGGGTTTATCAATTCAAAAATCAGGCAATATGGTCTTTTCAAGGTCATGTGAAAATTAAAACGTTTCAGATTTCACCTACTTCATTGGATACATCCTAACAGCAAGATCCATGCCTGGACAGTAGGACAGGAACGCTGCCAAAGCAGTTTCCTCAAACAGACCAAAGATGAGGACTTTATTCCTTTCAAAGAAAAACAAATCTAGTTAGGATAAATATAATTTGGCCAAACTGGGCTTTTAGAGGTACAATAAGTAACCATGAGCTGGAACTGAACAAACAGTTCAATCTGATAGATATCAGGCCAATATTTTATGTCTTGTTTGACGCCGGGCCCATTGTGTACATACTTCATTCCCTGCTGTAGGATGGAAAGCCTTCTGGTCTTGCAGATGAGCAAATCAGTCCACTGCACAATCACAATACTGGTAAAGAAGGCTGTGTGGCATGTGTACTCCACAATCTTTCTGCGCTCATAAGTCTAAATCAGAACACAGAGCATTATTTCAAAGATTGATATTTCTATAGAAATGTTGGTTTCACGTGTGTCAGGTTTGGTAGAGCTGTGACTCCTACCCATTGTTGGCCATAGCTGTCTTCCAGGTCATTGAGAAATCTGTCTTCCCAGCCAACTCGAATTCCTATCAGATCCCAGGGCAAAAATCCATTCTCAGCAAGAATTACGAAGTAGGTAAAGAACCCACCAACTGCTTGCATCATACCTATAAATTAAGTATAAAGACATGTAAGAAACAACCAGCAATGAACACCAGGGGCGCTCAGTACAGAAAAGGCATGCTCTTACCAATTTGACCATAGCTCATACTGATTAACCTCTCATTCACCAGCCTATCTGTTGCAGCGTTTCTGGGTTCTCTCTTCATGATGTCGCTTTCAGCAGGTTCGTAGGCCAATGAGATAGCGGGAACCTATTGGGATAAATAGGGAAAAATGAATACATGCATATTTCACAGTTCTCTTCATTAAGATAACTAAATTGACATCTTATCCCTACCATGTCAGTGCCCAGGTCAATGCAGAGAATGGTGATGGTGCCCAAAGGTAGAGGAATACCGATAAGGACAAAAAAGAGGAAGGGTGACATCTCCGGGATCTTACTGGTCAGCGTGTAGGCAATGGACTTCTTCAAGTTATCAAAGATCAGACGACCTGAAGGGGAAGACATGTTAAAGAAATAAGTGTCAAAGTTACCTTGATAATTTTTCAGTCAATTAAGTTCCCAATAACGTCATACCTTCTTCTACTCCAGTGACAATTGAGGCAAAGTTGTCGTCCAGAAGGATCATGTCAGCAGCCTGTTTGGATACATCAGATCCAGCAATACCCATAGC